CACATCGCCATATCATTTTACACACACACACACACACACACACACACAGAGAGAGAGAGAGAGAGAGAGAGAGAGACAGAGACAGAGACAGACAGAGAGAGAGAGAGAGAAAGAGAGCGCGAGAGAGAACCCTGTGAGGTAGTGGAGGTTGAGAAATTGTGACTATGCCAAGGTCCCCCAATAAGCTTCATGGCTGAATAGGGATTGAATCTGTGTCTGTCAACTACATTATTCTTACAAGAGATTTTCCTTCAAATCATAATTTCTTATTTACACATAAAATATTTGGGCAATTAATGGGTGAGTGGTATACGATGGAGTGTAGCCACCAAAGGCTATATGAACATTTTAACTTACTGGAGTAGGAACAGACTCCTTATAATTCACCATTACAAAAAGAAAATCAATCCACATGCTCATGTATCATTCACATTGCTGCAGTGGAACCACATGCTCAAGGAATAGGAGTGGAAGAAGAACTGGTGTAGTGTAGCACTGAGAGTGCTGGACTAGGACATGGGAGATTCCAGTTCTCATCCCCACCTTGGACCAGTCACTCCTTAATCCTGGCCTACTTCACAGGATTATTGTGAGGAAGAACTGGGGAGGGGGCAGAAGAGCCATGTATGCTGCCTTGAATCATAGAAAAATAAAGTTGGAAGGGACCTACAAGGCCATCAAGTCCAACCCCTTGCTCAATGCAGGAATATAATCAAAGCACATCTGCCAGGTGATTATCTAAGTTTTTCTTGAATGCCTCCAGTGTTGGAGCACTCACCAACTCCCGAGGTCACTGGTTCCACTGTTGTACTGCTCTGACAGTGACGAAGTCTTTCCTAATATTCAACGGAATCTGGCTTCCTTTAACTTGAGCCCATTGTTGCGTGTCCTGCACTCTGGGATGATTGAGAACAGATCTTGCCCCTCCTCTGTATGACAGCCTTTGAAATATTTGAAAAGTGCTATCAGATCACCCCTCAGTCTTTTTTTTTTCTCAAGGCTAAACATTCCCAATTCTTTCAGCCTTTCCTCATAAGGCTCGGTTTCCAGGCCCCTGATCATCCTTGTCACCCTCCTCTGAACTTGTTCCAATTTGTTAGCATCCTTCTGGAAGTGTGGTGTCCAGAACTGGACACAATACTCAAGGTGAGGCCTAACCAGTGCTGAATAGAGGGGGACTAGCACCTCACGGGATTTGGAAACTATACTTCTATTAATTCAGCCAAAAATAGCATTCACCTTTTTTGTAGCCACATCACACTGTTGGCTCATATTTAGCTTGTGATCTACGACAATTCCAAAATCCTTCTCGCTTGTAGTTTTGCTGAGCCAGGTATCCCCCATCTTGTAACTGTGCAATTGGTTTCTTTTTCCAAGGTGCAGTACTTTGCGCTTATCTCTGTTGAATTTCATTCTGTTGCTTTCAGCCCAGTGCTCCATCCTATCAAGGTCATTTTGAATTTTGTTTCTGTTTTCTAGGGCAGTGGTCCCCAACCTTTTTAACACTGCAGACTGGGTGGGGAAGGCGAGGTGTGCGCACAATCACAGGCATGCGCGAAGGGCAGGGGCGCTCAGGGGGCACTCACAGCATATGTGAAGGAGAGGGGGTGCTCTCACGCGCAGTCGCACGCATGCGCGAAGGGGCTGTGCGGGGGGGAGTGTGTGCAGGGGGGCTGGGGAGAGTTGTCTCCATGGCCCGCTCCAACCCAGGCCACAGACCAGGGGTTGGGGACCCCTGTTCTAGGATTTAGCTATTCCGCCCAATTTGGTATCATCTGCAAATCTGACAAGCATTACCTGCACTCCCTCATCCAAGTCATTAATACAAATATTGAAGAGCACCGGGCCCAGGACAGAGCCTTGGGGTACCCCACTAGTTGCCTCCTTCCAGTTAGAGAAGTAACCATTAATTATCACCCTGAGTACGATTCTGTAGCCAATTGTGTATCCACCTGACACATGATCTATCCAGCCCACACCGAGTTAGCTTGCTAATCAGGAGATCATGGAGCACTTTGTCAAAAGCTTTGCTGAAGTCAAGATATACTATGTCTACATTATTCCTTCTGTCTATCAGGGAGGTGATCTGATCAAAAAACAAGATCAAATTAGTTTGGCAGGATTTGTTCTTGACAAATCCGTATTAGCTTCTGGTTATTACTGCATTGTTTTCTAGCTGCTTGCACAATAACCATTTTATGATCTGTTCCAGAATTTTGCCTGAGATTGATGTCAGGCTAACTGGCCTGTAGTTCCCAGGTTGCTCTTTTTTGCCCTTTTTGAATATAGGGACAACATTGGCCCTCTAGCACCTCCCCTGTTTCCCATGATTTCAAGAAAATAATGGATAGCAGTTCAGCCAGTTCCTTCAGTACTCTCGAATGTAGTTCATCCGGCCCTGGAGATCTGAATTCGTTGAAGTGGTAAGACTATTTGTTTATCTATCTCCAGCTGCAATCCTTCCAATTTGTTTGGAAGTTCACTGTCTGTCTTATAGAAAAAGACTGAACTAAAATAAGAACTGAGCACTTCTCCCTTTTCTTTGTCCTCTGTTATCATTTTTTTCATCTCCATTGTGGAGCTGTGCCACTATGTCTTTTCTTTGTCTTTTGCTACTCACATACCTGAAGAATGCCTTTTTATTGCTTTTAGTGACCCTAGCATGAGATCACTGAAGGCAAAAGGAGGGACAAAAGAAACCAACTGTAGCAATCAGCCCCGCCCTCACCTGTCCGTCACAGCTGAACAGTGAAGAAGGAGCCTATGTGTGGACAGAAGGCAGAGCCAAGGGGGGAGGGGGCTGGATATAAAGGCTGGTGGATGGAGTATGAGAGAGATTCTGGTAGAGAGAGACTGTGTGAAACTTAAAAGTGAACTGAGAGTGAGTTACAGATCTGTAAGAACGCTGAATGGAACAGAGAGTTAATAGAGTTTTGAAGTTATCGCCGTTTTGATTCAAATACTAGTGATTAGCAACCTGTGATTTACTTATTGAATATTAATCATATAATAACTTCCCTGATCCAATAAATCACTTGAGTGTTAAAAGTACACGTCTCCATGATTCAATGGTATTAGAGCAGTAATACCTGGTGGCAGCGAAGAAAGAAGAAGAGAGAGAACCTCGTGAAAGCCTGGGGGGATAGGGGCTTCAGAGGAAATCGGCACACCAACAAACAATAATGGTTGGCTGGATAGCTCAGCGGGTTGGATCACCTGGCCATGGAGCAGGAGTTTGATTCCCCACTGTGCCTCCTAGGAGAAAAACTAACCTGTGTTGCCTTTGGCTAGCTGCACCACTACAGCGCCACCAATATTCGTAAGGATCACAAGTAGGAATTGTCTTAACAGCACACCATTAATTAATTAACTAACAATAATAAATAAAATGTTGTGGGAATACAGGACTTCTAAAGAATTAGAAGATGGAAAAATGGTCGAAATTACTTGCTACTTAAACACACATAAACTCTGCACATATAATGAGGTTATACATGTACTGGCCTAAAGGAGAAAACCCTGACATTCACAAAAAACAGCTGGAAGATTTGTGATGCTTGTTACTAAGGGGGAGAACAAACAAAACACAGGTGCCTGGGTACTCCTGCCAGTGTAGTCCACACAACAACCAGAACGATAATGGGTGCTCTAACTCAGGGGTCCCCAAACCCTGGTCCGTGCCCTGGTGCCAGTCCGTGGCCTTGGCAGGACTGGGCCGCGGAGACAGATCTCCTGCTTCCCTGCACACACTCCCCCCCACGCCCACATGCACACATGGCCCACCCACTCGCGTGTCCTGTCCAACCCCCCCTGCACGAGCATGCCCCATGCATGCATGCGAGCGCCCTCACCAATCCGTGTGAGCGCACCCTACCCATTTGCGCATGCATGTGAGCGCACCCCGCCCACCCACAAGTGTGTCCCATCCACCCACGAGCATGGGGGTGCTTCACCCACCCGTGCATGGACCCCACCCCCACAACCAGTCCGCAGTTCGGAAAAGATTGGGGACCACTGCTCTAACTGGTCAAGGAAGCACGTTTTTAAGAAGGCAGAGCTGGTGAAAAGTTAGCCCTCTGAAAGTCGCTCAACTGTATCTCTCATCATCTACCACTATTAACAATGCCGGCTATGGCTGGTAGATGCTGAGGGCCATACATCTTCCACTCCTGGTCAGCAAATGTAGAAAATATGCCATTTTTCAAAGTGTTAGATTGAAAGAAGGCATAGGGATTAGTTGCCAAAAGCAGGAAATAAAAAGGCATTTACTGCAGACATACCTACTTTTCATTACACAAAAAACTTCATTTGTAAGTTGCTAGCTTTGCCAGGAAGCATATGAAATTCTTCCCCATTGCTTGATATGACAGCCCTCTATAGACTGTCCATCAGGAGGAGTCATATTCAGAGTTCTCCTAGTAACAGTGGTTCTTTGTACTATATTTACTAGAAAAGATCTTTTCAAAGTGAAATTAGAACAGACTTCATTGTTTTATAATGAAGTGAAAATTCTTGGTCTTGTTCTAATTTTAGCTCTCATACTTCCTGGTTTCAGACAGGAGAGAAAGTTGATATTATGAAGTGCTAATGAAATCGTATCCTACCATACTATCTAAGCTAAGGGCTTGAAGGTTTTATTCTGCATCAGCCAAACATAAGGGTGTGAATCACCAGCCTGCACAATCTGCAACAGCTATAAGGATCCAGCCAAAAGTCTTAGAGCAATTAAGTGAATATTTATTTTGCTTCTTTATTCAGAAGCAAAGTATTTAAAAAAACAAACACATAATTCTTTTACTACCCAACATTTTATCTTACTTGAAAACATGCTCTAAATGACAGCTTGATATATTTACAGTATTAAGAGAGGTTTGTGAAATGTGTTTGATTATTATTGGTCTTCGGAAACCTGGCAGGTGTCATATTTAAGTAATTCTAAAAAGGGAGATCTCAAACACACACACATATATATAAAATAAAAAGTGATATGCCATACTTACTGACAACTTGTTACTGAGGCCCATCAGATAAGCAATTGCAGCATTAAATAAATAATCCTTCAGGAGGCATTCTGTTACCTGATTAAACAAAAACAAAATATTTTTCCCTTTCAGTAAACAGGATCAACCACTTTAACTTGGCATGAGAATGACATCCCATTTGGCACTGAGCAAGACTCAATGAGGAGGAGAACTCTCGTAGGAGGGTGACACAACAAAAAAGGCCATCCTGCTGGTCATCACCCACCTAATTTCAAATGGCAATGGGATCTAGCGGGGAACTTCAGATGGCATCTCAATGTTCAGGCAGGCTTGTGCTGCGGGACGAAATCCTTCATAGCCCAACTTTGTATGTGTATACTCAGAAACAAGTCACATCAAGCTCAGTGGAACCCTACAACACTAATGGTCATTCTCGCTGGGGAATTCTGTGTGTTCTCTTAAAAAACAATAAAAATAATAATAGCTTCCAGGAGCTAGATATGGGATTTTAAGTGTTCACAAAGAGTCCCAAAGACAACACTAATCACTATCCAATCAGTTAACACAAGCAAGGAAGCACACTGTTAGCTGATTTGTTATAGCTATAAGAATACAGTGGTGACTTGCTTGACGATGTTAATTCATTCCAGCAAAATCGCTGTAGAGTGAAAACATTGTCAAACGAAATTAACCCCCCCCCCACTGAAACGCATTAAAAACCGGTTAATGCGTTCCAATGGGTGAAATTTCTAATTGTCCAGAGAAGACCCTCCATACGGCGGCCATTTTCGGGTGCCTGTCTTGTGAAAAATGCCTCCTAAAAACAGCGGGGAGCCATTTTGAGCAGCCGGTGGCCATTTTGAAAACCGGACAATCAGCTGTTTTGATCGTTGTAATGCGAAGAATTGGTTCCCGAAGCAGGGAATCAATCATTGCAAAGGGAAAAAAACCCATTAAAGCATCGTTTTACACAATGAAAAATGGCATATTTTCTACATTTGCGATCACAAAAACATCGCCGTGAAGCGGATTTGTCGTTATACGGGGTAATCGTTAAGCGGGGCATGACTGTATCACTATATAAAAAGACTTGGAATATCCATTTCATGTGCGTATTATGACTATGAACTGCGGAATAGCCCACTTAGCACCTCACTTCCAAAAATTCTCTGGACTTGCACTATCCTTCTCTTCCAACTACACAGAATTTTTTTTAAATAGGAGGAACCATGTGACCTACTTTAAAACAGAGTCTGGACATTTCTTTGAAGTGATAGTCAGATCTTCAGCTACTAATCTAGAGTAGTTATTTGGATCTTGACTTGTATCCCAATTTATATGAAATTACTTTTTCAAACAATCACCAATTATGCAGTTTCTAAAAAGGGCAACGTTTCCAAGATCTATAATCATAGGTTAGGAAAGATGAAACAGATTGGCTCCCAAAACAACTGTGTTCACCTCCATGGGAAGATATCACAAAAGGGTGACTACTGGATCTTTTGTATCCCAAGAAGAACAATATTAAACAGCAAAGGACCTCACAAGACACATTAATAAATGAAAAATGAATATTCTTTATTACCTATTGATTACAATTCTAATAAAAGGGGTTTCATGCATTCAACACATTCACACTACATACATATTCACCAAAGAGAGAAGAATTCTTTATTTGTGTTGTCCCAAGTTCCAAAGAAAGTAGTTAGTTCCAAAAACCTTTTCGTCTCAGCACACAAATTAAGGTTGCCCAGATGCCTCTTTTTATATTCTTTTTTAGGCAGGTTGCTAGATGGCATGCACATTAGATGTTTCTTTGTTTCCCCCTAGATATATGGTCCTTATCACTTACTGTGAAGAATGGAATGCTTAATGTGTCTTCCATCACTTAGTGGACAGGTGTGGAATCTGCTTGCTCAAGAGGATCCTCGTACCAGGGTCTTCTTAACCCCTGGGTTTGCTCTACTCCCTCAATTAGCAGATGTTTTTTGTCAACTTACTGAAAGCGTAGTTCAAAACGTTCAGTTCAAGAGTTGAATTTCTCACAATGAGGGCTTACAGCCAGAAGTACAAAGTCCCATATTTTCTCTGGGTTTTGTTGGTTAACATCTTTGTGTCCTAACTCTCTCTCTGGTTCTTCAACTTATCCAGGCCAAACATGCACACACCTTACAAGACATGCTTCATGTTACAAAACAGATCATTTATTAACCTCAAATATAATTGTATACAGAACTTTTATTGTACACATGCAGTTCCTATGCACATGTACACACATCCATGAACTTGCAACCACACCCATGGCAGGAAGGGTATTTTCAATATGCATTACATACGTTTTTTCATTACTTCATTCCAACAGGTTTTGTAAAAAATAAATAAATCTCTGATCTATAAAATGTGCAATTCTTTGTGTCAGCTTACTGCAGAGTTGTTAACTGTCCTCAAGAATCCTGTTTTCTGTTTTCTGTTTGCACTTTAACGAGACTCAGCCTTGTACTATGAATTCCTTTTTCTGTATGGTACCATTGGATCGGACGACTTGGATAGATAAGGTACACACTAAGCATCTTAGCCTTAGTCACTGATGCCTACAGCATGCATCCATTTTGGCAGTTTTTTGAATAAATTAAGAAGCACTGAGCAGGAGCTAGAAATGCATATTTAAAGTACTGTACTAGGAAATGTATTCACATTTTTTATTATTGTTGTTTTACTGTGAATGCATAAACATCTGAACAAGGAGCGATCACATCTGGCACTTAATTAATTAATTATTAATTGCTCCTTTTTAACTGCCCATCTGGACATTCAATCTACGAGATGAGTTTTAGTGACAATGTGTTTTGTCTAAAAATAGCCCAGTGCTGATCAAGGATATGGAAAATGTGCCCCTCCCCAATATACTGTTTGACTGTTATCTCCTACTATCCTTGACCAGCGGCCCACTTGGTGGGTGGTGGTGCTGTATGTTGAAGCCCAATAACCTCGGGAGAGCCACATATCCCACCATCCTGGTCTGGTCTGTCCTGACTGAGTGGTTCCCCAAGATCCTTGGCAGATGTTTCCCTGTTACCTGATATTTTTAACTGGAGATGGCAGAGATTAAATTTAGGATGTTCTTCATGCAGTGCTCTGCCAGCAAGCTATAGTCCCTTCCCTGAGAGACAGATACTGATGCTCCTGGGATAATTGCAAAGCAACTGGAATTACAGACACACACACACACATACACACCCAATAAGAAATCTTGGGCAAGTTTCAGTGGAAGGCTCTTTCAAAATGAGAACTTTGTTGTTGTTGTTTAGTCATTAAGTCTTGTCTGACTCTTCGTGTTTCCATGCACCTTACCAGGCCCTCCTGTCTTCCACTGCCTCTCGGAGTTGGGGCAAATTCATGTTGGTAGCTTTGATGACACTGTTCAACCATCTCATCCTCTGTCGTCCCCTTCTCCTTTTGCCCTCACACTTTTCCAACATCAGGGTCTTTTCCAGGGAGTCTTCTC